AAAAAAAAGACACCAACCTTATCGGAGGTTTTGAAATTGCAGAAAAGACACAAAATTACAAATAATCCTTACAAAATGTTATGAAAGGAATTGAATGTTTTGGTTCATGGAAACTTTTATAGCTGGACTTAGGGCAATTACTAAATTCCAAGGGTTTTAAGATCGATAGTCCCTCTAAATTATAAGTATTTCCAGCTTTCTTCTTAACAAGGTACATGGATGCAACATAGATTAACTTTGAATTGATCCTGAATAATCCAACTTTCTTTATAGGAAAGCAAACCATGGGGTTTCCAGTTTATAACTATAAGGACCGCTCAGATAACAAGCTGTACCACCTCCACACTCCCCAGAGCCCTCTGGTGCGGCCCAGCATGTATGACTATTATGGTATGGACAGCTATCCGATCGGCACCAATTCAATTGTGGCTGTCATCTCCTACAGTGGCTATGACATGGAAGATGCAATGGTAAGCCAACAAAAGGAGAAATCCTGCTGGAATTTGGTGTGGGAGACTGGGAAGAAGGATGGTACCCAGCTGAGAAGAGCCCGTTTTCTGCTTCTGCTAGTCCACAGGCTCTGTTAAGGCAGATACAGGAGCACAGTGGTTAAGCGTTGTTACTGCAGGTAATGCTGGAAGTACCAAGAGTAGAGCGGAGCTCCCTTGTGCCAAGTAGTGGGCTTCCAGCATTGAAAAATACTGGGGTTACAGGAGGTTTGGGCCTTTTGGAACAGTGACTTGCTGGGAGGCTTTGTTTAGGAAAGCAATGTTGAAAAGGTAAGCGTCAGATCAGAATGGGAAAGCTTTCTTTGCTAAAGTTACTAGCAAGTCTTTAACAGGACTTTGTTTCTTCTTTTTAGATTGTGAACAAATCTTCCTGGCAGAGAGGGTTTGCCTATGGAAGTGTTATCAAGATGGAGAGCATTGACCTTTCCCTTAAAGCCAGCAGGGCAGGCGATAATTTAGTATTTGGCATCAGGCCCGGCGATCCAAATGTTACGGAGAAGTTGGATGCCGATGGCTTGCCTTTTGTTGGCTCTATCCTACAGCCTGGGGACCCCTTTTACAGCTTCATGAACCTCAGCACAGGGGAGACCTTCACTGTGTATTACCCGTAAGTACAACTTGTCCCTCCTGGCTCCACACACCCAGTAGTGAGCAGTCTGAGAGCAGTTGGCCCTGATGAGCTGCAGTATCTTTTTCTCCAGGTGTTCCCTTTTCTCTTCATGTGGTAGTGTCCATGTCTTGACACAGAGAGCATGAAGTTCATGTTGTAGGCGACTCCCATGTCCGTATCACAGCTTTTGTCTCAGCCAGTGTATGCTGCAGAGCCTGACTTGTTCCAGGAGGAGAATCTGAGACTGGTAAAAAGAAAAGAGCTTGCAGAAATGTTTTGCTGTCTCCTGAGGATCGTTCCTCTGACCGTCCCCTGCAGTTGTTTTCTGTAGTTTTTTTGTTAATTGACTCACATAAAGCGTTCTGTCTAAAAAAAAAAAAAAAAAAAAAAAAAAAAAAAAAAAAACCAAAGAAACACCAAACAGAAAACCAAAACAAAGTGCCTGGTTCCAGAGACTTGCCCAAAAACCTTGTAACAAAGCTGTTCCAGGATTAAGGGTTGAAAGAGCATTTTTATTAACATTGCTAGAATATTAAAATCTGTCAACTACACCCCTCACTCTCCCTGGAACATTTCAGGGATGAGTTTTGTAAGACTTTTGAACTTCAGTTGAAAGAAGGCTGCTGAGGCTTTCATTAAAATCCTCTTAATTCTTTCAGAAAAGGGAAGCAAAAACATTGGAAAAAAAATACATATTTAAATGCATCTTGCACTCCCAGTTGTCTGTACAGCTCCAGGCCTTACCTGTGTCTCTCTACAGCATTGATAGAGTGAGAACAATGCTGTGTAGTTGTTCGCATTGTGAAGGCTAATTAGTTTGAGAAGCACTTGGGTAACACGGTAACTGGGCATTACTGGGAAAGCTATTGTTTATTACTCTATAACAGATGGTGCCTTAGCTGCACTGGGGAGACTGCTGTGGACTCGTAGAATTAGTCATCCTGGTCGTAGAGCCAGGGCTAACAGATTCAGCACGTGGTAGTGGGCATCTGTAAGCTCAGCCTTGTCCTTGCACTTGTGGAGCCCTCTTTGGCTCTCACACTGTGCTCCTGCTCCCCAGCTCTCTCCTGCCAGCTTCCTTATCCAGAGAGCCATTTTACCTGTGTACCATTCAGCTTTTGTTCGTTCTTGGTCCAGGTCAGATAATTATTTAGGTTCCTACAGAGAGATGAGGTTCCCAGCTCTCACTGTTGGCTCCTGCCCCCAGTTTGTCCCAGAGATGTGGGGCCCTTAAGAGGGAGTTCTCCCTACTGTCCTAAGTGGGACAGTATGCTGCTAGATCTTATGTGTGGCTTGGAAGAGAAGGAAGACACAGGCTTTGAATTCAAAAGCTTGAACAAGCTTTGAAGAGGCTTATGAAGCACAGTTTTGGGGGGGGGGGGGGGGGGGGGCGTGGTGCGTTGGTTGTTTTGGGGTTTTTTTGTGATGACCTGTACCCTGGTTGCATCAGAAACTAAACTTAGGTACGGGCCTTCCACAAACATGCTGTTCACTGGGACTTCACGAGAGAAGAAAAAAAGTAACCTTGTCTTAACATGGGAGAAAATATGTTTATCCCTTAGCTGTTGTCTCCAAAATGAGTGGAGAGTTTGGGCTGAAAGCTCTGTGACAGCAGTTAAACCTGCAGGAGACACCTAGCATGTGGAACAACAGGCTGAGGGTTCATCTGGAGAAGCAGCACACCCCTGAAAGAGGCACTGGTTGGAAAATCCCTCTCAGCTCACACCATGCCTTCCCTTTCTGCTCTGACTTTTTCTCTCTGCTCTGCATGGAACCTGGTTCTTTATTTTAGTATCCCACCAAGATGGTGTGAATTTATTGAGGGTAGAGAGGGACTGCTGCCTCGACACAAAACAGATGGCACTGGGATGCAGTTTCTCAGATAAAGCACAATACAGATGAACCAGGTTTAAATTATCTTTATTTTAAATCCATGGCTGGCACATTACCCAACCACCTGAAATTTGTAGCTGTGCTTCCAGTATTAGAAAAAGCAAATGAATGGCACTTGTGTGATGCCGTTTTATTGCTTCCTTGCCCTAATTCTTACGCAGTCTGATTTCCCTCGCTGCTTAGTAGTACTTTTCAAGAATGGTGGTGTTGCCCAGCTGTCCCAAAGTGTTTTATGAGACTCATGGAGTGGTTTGGGTGGTTTTTTTCCCTTCATTTCCCTTTCCTAGCTAAAAATCATTAGCATACCTGACACCTTTGCTGTGACTGTTTTTCCACCTACACAGGAATAAGGAAGTCGGTATTGTAGACAACGTCAGGTTATGCAGTAATGACCGCGGCACTGGGAAATTCAAGAAGGCTTGCATCACTGTGAGGGTTCCCCGAAATCCAACTGTCGGAGACAAATTTGCCAGCCGTCATGGACAGAAAGGTATCCTGAGCCAGCTCTGGCCAGTTGAGGATATGCCATTCACAGAGAACGGGATGGTTCCAGACATCCTCTTCAACCCTCACGGCTTTCCCTCCCGTATGACCATTGGGATGTTAATCGAGAGCATGGCAGGGAAGTCGGCAGCGCTGCATGGTGTCTCCTATGATGCCACTCCCTTCACCTTCACAGAGAAGAACTCCGCTTTGAAATACTTTGGTGAGACTTTAGTGAGTGCAGGTTATAACTACTTTGGGACAGAAAAGATGTACAGCGGCATCAGCGGCCTGGAGCTGGAGGCAGAGATCTTTGTGGGAGTGGTGTACTATCAGCGCCTGCGCCACATGGTCTCGGACAAGTTCCAGGTGAGGACAACGGGGCCCCGAGACGCTGTCACCAACCAGCCCGTCAAGGGAAGGAATGTGGAAGGTGGGATTCGCTTCGGCGAGATGGAGCGTGACGCTTTGCTGGCTCACGGCACGTCTTTCTTGCTGCAAGACCGCCTCTTCAACTGCTCCGATGGCTCTGTAGCCTATGTCTGCATGAGCTGCGGCAGCATGACATCCCCTGTGCTGGAGAAACCGCCACACTCCTCCTCTGTGACAAGCAACAGGAGGTACTCCTGCTCTGTCTGCAGCGAGGTGGACACGATCGAGGTTGTCCCTGTGCCCCATGTCTTCCGTTACTTTGTGGCAGAGCTGGCAGCCATGAACATAAAAACAAAGCTCAACCTGGAGTAGCTCTGTCCTCAGGCACAGCGATGCTGCTGCTGGGAGGAAGGAAGCACGTGTCAGTCCTGCCTTTGCCCCCTGCGGGTTTCAACTGTTACGTCAGTTCTCAGGTTCTTCAAACGTTTGCAAGATTAAGTTGATGTTTATATTGAGACAGGGGCAATCATCAAGCTGTATGGTGAGGAAACGCAGCTCTGTTGAAGTTCATTTGCACTTCCTAAAGGATCAGTAGTTACTGAGATGTGGCGCATGGAAATCAAGCAATACCACTGCTCCCACCAGGCTGCTGGGCTGAGGGCGGTGGGGGTTCTTCATTTTCCGAGCACTGGCTGCAGCTGCAAAGATTAAGAGGTCATAAAACAGCATGAAGTGAATGCTGGAAATGATGGAAAAGAGAGAGATCCATTTTGTTTTTTGAAGAAAAATCCTTGCAAAACGTATGCCTTAATGATGGGTACGTGTTAAAGTGATTGGATGTGTTTTGTTTTGCTTTATTTCAATACATACGCCTTGAAACTCAGGAAGAAGGCACAAAGTTCTACTGCATGAAACTGCAGCCTTGACCAGAAGAGACCAAGGTGGCTGGGCCAGGCCTGTCCTGGGAGTGTTTGGTGTCGCTGAGCCCAGCACCAGTCCTGGTGCGGGACCACAGTGGTGGTTTTTGGGGGTTTTTTTTGGTGTGTTGGTTTCCAGCTGAAGAAGCAGCAAGCAGAGGGCTTTCTAGCCTGGTGCCCACCCTGGATCTTGGCCTTCGTGCAGCGCTGTGAAGCACAGACAGCGTGGGACGGGAGCTCGCCGTGTCCCCACCACCGCGCCGGAGCCCGCTCCCCA